ATTAGACGACGCGACGATCAATTTATCTATCTGCGCCGACGCTATTCTCATTGCAACACACGAGTAGTTTCTTTTGTTAGGCGCACCGCGATGCGATCGCAGCCCGCACTTACGATAATTACAGGTCGGGTCGAATAGTCGGTCAGAGCACAAGGCGACAACTTATCACGCAACCGCAGATTAGCCGTGGGTCGATCAGAATGATTCACAGATCCGCGGGGCCTTCTCTCTTTCCGCGCATTCCCGTTTACGATTCAAACATAATGGGTACTTTCCGGTGCCGTAAGTTCTCCGGTCCGTGGCTCTCGCCCTTGCCTCTCGTTCTCGTCCGCACTAGTAGCACTTAATACTTTTGTTGGCTTGCAATCTTGTTCATCACGTCCGTCCACGGCTGCCCTTCAGGGAAATTGGCCACGACTAACGCGGTGTCGTATTGCGTACCTTCGGTTACATCTCCTTTTTTCTCGCGGATTTTTATCCTATTGGTAGAAAATGTCGTCAATCCGATCAACAGTCTATTTTGTTAAGTTACTGGTTAGTTAGTTAGCGTTGATTTTATCCTTTTCGTTATCTTACCCCTATCTCCGTTATCATTGACTTGTCGGGAGTGCGCGCGCCGATCGGTCTAGCGTTACCCATCGTTTGTCATCTGTCCTTTTTTCTCTCGCGCTCATCAGTCCTACCGGTCACCCCTATTCCCATATCAGCATCCCCTCTCACGTCTACTCTATCAGTGTACTCGCTCGCACTTATGCCCCCCCCCCCGCTCTCCCTGGCTCATATTCGTTGCCGATCGCGTCACAATATGGCCGCCGCTCGGCTACCACGTTAACGTTGCTTCCCGTCGCCGCTCTCCGTGACTGCCTCTCGGTGTTTGGAAGATCGGCCAGTGCGTGCGTATATGTGGGTTGGGTGTGTTCGGCTGCCCTTTGGATGTGTTAATTGAGTGGCAAGCGGTGTTAGTGTTCATGTGGTGCTTCTCCTTGCGAGGTCAGCTACCAGAATCAGCTGATTTCGGTTGCGAACTTCTTCGTCGTCTAGCTTCTTGGGGGAGCATCGGTCCGGGTGTGTAAGTTTGGAGCGCATCGGTCGGGGGGTCCTGAGAGATAATAATTCGCGAGGTCTCGAAGAGGTAACTAGGCGTATGTGAGCTAGTGAGATCAGCTGATCGGTCAGTTGCACCCTCTTGAGCGAAGAGGATTTCATAAGTCGGGAGTTGCGTAAAAAATAATTCATAATTCATAAACAAACAAAATGTTTCATAAAGATAGACAAAAAGTATTAAAAAACAATATAATTATAAATTTTATTTAGACCGGGGTGCTTCCGCCTTTCCATAGTACGCTACTGATATAAGACACTCGGTAACGCTGTTTTATTCGATGGTATAGTATAGTGAAAGAACACACGACTGTTGCTATGTGAAGTGTTATTGTAAACAATAAAAATAATACTTGGAAAGGGACTGTTGGAAAAAAAAAGGAATAGTACATTACGATACAAGTGCTGGAAAAACTGGGATTCCGGGAAGCACACCGGCTCCTCCAAGACCCGTACCCAGGAGAAAGGACGTCATCCCACCGGAAACCTTCCAGAGAAGAGGAGGTTAAGAGAATCCAGAGGAGTACGGGAGATCTGCACCAGTTCGACAGAGGAGTCGAAACGGATCATCTGGCACCGGTCCTCAATTATCCTCAGGGCTCTCCATAACTTAAGATGTTGAAAAAATTGTCCGCGGATGGAAATTGAGGTTTACGGGCAATAGGGCACAGAGCGTAGATACGTTTCTGTCGAGGTTGGAAGATCTGCGCGTCGGCGCAGGGCTGACTGATGGTGGTTGTGGGTAGACATAGGTGACTTTAAAATTAGAGCACTCTATGATACCGGCGCCTCATCTACGGTCATAGCTAAGAATGGCATCGGACTTAATGTGACCAGGGCTGGCGATGCAAGGCTCGCCGACGGGCGCCCATACCTCATAATTGGTCACGTGATGTTCGCCTTTAAGGTAGGGGGATCACAAAGAAGATAAGAGTCGCCATTGTGCCCCTGCTCACAGATGACTGGTACGTAGGTGCGAACTTTATAAGAAAGTTCCGCACAGTTTTGGACCCCGATGAGGATGAGTTATGGCTGAAGGACGCCCAGGTAAAAGTACCAATGGAAGTGGCTGGAATTGATGGTACGGCATTTCTCGCACCGGTAGGACTGTGGGAGGCCACGGAAACACAGCTTGAGGAAATCGAAGACCGCGTCAGAAGATTGATTCTTGACGGAGGGCAGGCTTTAGGCTGTGCCGTGGGGATTGAGCATGAAATAGATGTTGGAGGTGCTCGACACATCAAACAGAAGTACTACCTAGTTTCTGATAGGGTGCGAGAGGAAATGCACGTGCTGGTCAAGGATATGCTGGAAAAAGATGTAATCGAACCAGTGACCAGCGGATAGCCAAGTTTAGTGGTGATGGTAAAGAAGGCTGATGGAAAGTATAGGTTTTGCGTGAATTACTAAAAGTTAAACGCAATCACCAAACCTGATGCCTATCCTTTACCATTATGAACGACATCCTAAGACGGATAAGGGATGCGAAGTTCATATCCATGCTCGGCTTGAATAGCGTGTACCATGACATTCTACTAAAAGAAGAATCGTGTCCGATATCAGCGTTTACAGTACATGGATTGGGTCACTCAATTCAAGAGAATGACCTTTGGACTGTCATACGCAGGAGCGACCTTCCAGAGGTTGATGGATAAGGTGATAGGCCCGGATATTGATCCATTCGCTTTTGCTTACCTCGACGACGTAATAGTGGTTTCGTCGTCATTCGAGGAGCATAAGCGGCACCTAGAAATAGTATTAAAGAGAATTATAGGTACGGGCCTAACCATCAACAAAACCACAAGCCACTTCTGTAAGACGGAAGTTAGGTACTTGGGAGTTCTTTTAAACCAGGACGGAGTAAAACCAGATCCCGAGAAGATAAGACCGATACTAGAGTATCCAACACCCCGGACTGTCTAACAGGTGAAGCGATTCATGGTGACGTCATGGTATAGACTTTTATACCCGTCATGATCGCTGAACCTATAAACCGCCTGACGAAGAAGAATGTACGTTTCTCTTGGGACGAGGAGCAAGAACGAGTTTTCATGAGGTTGCAGGAGGCGATGACTTCCGCCCCAATACTGCAATCACCCGATCCTAGCAGTGAGTTTGTACTACAAACTGATGCCAGCGACAGTGGGATCGGGGAAGTCCTCACGCAGGATGTCGATGGACAGTGTGATCGAATACGCCAGCCGATCACTCTATAGCGCTAAGAGAAATTATACAGTCTCCAAGAGAGACTGTTTGGCAGTTTGGGCCATTGGGAAGTTCCGGCCGTACATTGATGGGCATCACATCAAGGTCATCAGTACTCATAGTTACCTGAAATGGCACCACAGAATGAGAAATCCCACGGGAAGACTAGCGCGTCGAGCGCTAGCATTGCAAGGCAATGTCTTCGATATCGAATATCGACGGAGAGATATTAATGTGGTGCCGGACGCATTGTCTAGGGCCTATGAGGAGGAGGGTACTGAAGGCAGTGCCATAAATAGTCGACCGGAGACCACTGATGCCTGGTATTTATAACAATACCAGGAGGTATGCCAAGAACCACATTCACACCCCACATGGAAGATAGTTGGGGGAGGCTGTATCACTATTAACCTGATGTGGACGGTGAAGGATCCATCGACAACGAGGAAGCCTGGAAGCTTGCGGTGCCTAGAGAGAAAAGGTACCAAGTGCTCCGTGATGTCCATGATGCTCCATGATGTCTTGATTTTATTCACCATATTAGGTTATTTCTTTTCCCTTTAGTTTAACGGATCCATCACCGGATATTTTTTTAAACCGATTTCATCTAGGGAATAATGGAAAGAAACATTAGCCTTTTTACACCTAAGAGAAAGCAAGTCTCACAAGTCCGGTGACTTAAGGTGAGTTCAACTCTGTTGGAAAGGAGACATTAGAGCGAAAGTATCAAACGTAAAGGCGAATATACGTATACTCATACGTGATTAGCGAAGCGGCGGTTAGCTCTGCATTGTGGGAGATTGTTCTTAAATAAATCCAAGTTGCATCTGTTAATCCACCCCGTTACATATTTCATAACTATTTTTTCATAAATGATATTTAAATGTCTAACTTCTTATTTCTTGGTATAATACAAAAGATTCATTTTTTTATTTGAAAAACTATTTAGTAAAAAGTAGCATATCATGCAAGTTCATAATTTGCACCATTGTTGTCGACTAACTCTGGTACGACCTGGCATATGATGGAAATGCGCAATGACTACTGATAAAAGGTCCGAGTGAAAAATGTTTATCTTTGTAAATTATTATTTACATATTATATTATTTACAAAAAAAAATTTAACCAGTCTTTGAAGTTTAAATCGGTAGGTTAAATAAGTTAGTGAAAGATTTTGAACAATTTGAAACGAAAAAATAACATTTGTTTTTTTTATAAGTGATATTCTAATACTATTCATTCTGATAGCGATATTTCCTCATTTGAACAACGTAAAATTCAAATTGGTCGACTATTTGGACACTAAAATTTCGAATTTTCCGATGATTCAAACCATAAAATTTTGAATGAGAGTTCGAATTATCAAGGTCTTTTTACACGCGTAAGTACAGAAATGTCACGGGACCGACACAATTACCGAGGAATTCAAATTATCGGTGTTCGAATTAACCCAACCCAACCCAACCCTTCATAGTCCTTACTTTCTCTATCGTCACATGATAAACAAGGACAATATAACACTAAGCAATTTTAATGAATAATGTAATAAAAGTCGATGAGCAACTGTAACGTATTTTTAATTTGAAATTGATCGTATATAAAAACGTTCGACAATCCTAGTGATAAATGTAATCAATATGTATAATATTTTTTGTTCTAAATATTAATGTTGTAATAATATATATTTTACTTACAATTGTCCATAAATTCTAACAAAATGTTTATGTGCTGTATGAAACCAAATCATCTGTACCGGACTTAGCTCGCACAAGTTGTGGCATAATTTTTTTTTTAACATAATTGACTTTGGTAAAATATGACTCATTTCATTTCTTTTTAAAAACTTCGATGCAGGAATGAAACAGACATTGCAGAAGTCGGGATCACTATAAGGGCCATGCATGATAGTTTTGGCATATGCCATTAAAATTTTTGAGCCTTGATAAAATTTATTTATTTGATCCTATAACATAAAAAATGTTTAAGTTTAACAGTATCAAATATTTTCATATCAGTTTTTACATAGATTTAATATATTAGAGTCATTTCGTGAAAAGCTTCATTTAATAAATTATTGATGACTTGAATTATCTTAAGTTAAGAAACGAAAAAGCCATTGCTAACGCAAACAAAACATTTGAAGAGAGAAATACTGATAAAATAAGCTTTCTTATTTAAGAAAAAATAGTAAATAGAAAATTCAAATTACACCAGCCGACAAAATTTCAAAATGGAAAAAAATCCAGAAAATGATGGTATATTTCCGTAGATTTAGAATTGATCACCTAAGATCCTCAAGATATTCTAACCTAAAATTACATACATCACAATATTTTACTTTGTTCAATGTTATGTAACATAGTGAATACATTTTTTTTTCAAACCCAAGTAGAATCATGAAAAAGCAGTACTCTGCCGATTAAAACCCATTTTTCGAATCAGAGTTATCTTAGTTTTCTGCGAGATATCATTGATTGAAATTAAGTGTTTCAGCCATTTTACCACTAAATTAAAACAGCCAAATCGCCATGCTTTAACTCGCGACCCCTGTAACCTGTAACCATCTAACCCAACTTCCGATTACCTTAGCCATGGACCCCTGTAACCTGCACGGTTAGAACTCTAGAACTTTGAACCCTCATTGATTTAATCCAACCCCTGTAACTTGTGACCTTAACCCAGCCCCCGACCCTTGTAACCAATGATATTTATATTTTTGCAAATCTGCTAAAATACTTAATATGAATTAATGATATCTTGATAGAAAATAAAGATAACTCTAATGCAAAAAATGGGTTTTAATGAGAAGGTACTGCTTTGTCATAATTCGACTTGATTTTTATTCATATTTTTAGGTTAGAAAATCTCATAAGTCTTAGATATGCATCAATTTTGAAATAGATTCGGATTCACATTTTCGAAAACCTTTACAAAATATATTATCGTGTTTCTGGATATTCTGGGATGTCAGCCTGTGTTATAGAATGTATTAAATTATTCAGTTCTTTTTCAATTGTTAATCCTTACTTAAGAATATGTTCATAGTGATACTTTATCTTTTTTAAAGTGGTCGAAAACGTAGATATACAATTCAATTTTTTACGTAAAATTAGAAAGATCTGATGGTCGAAAACATTATTTTATATAATGTAGTACTTAAAATTAATTTTGTAACTGACAGCGATGGGGTGCAGAGTGAAAATAAATCAATACACTTCAAGAACCTTTATTACAAAGGTATTGAAAAACAAGGCAGGTGGAGTTGATAAAATAAAATAAAGTATATTGAAAAGTATTATACATTATAATTGAAATCTGTGCATGCCTATTTCATTGTGTATAGTGTCGCATAAAACCGCGTCTCCGGTAATCATGCCGCAGGTCGCTGCCGCGACCCTTGATGAAAGAAGCTTTATAATACATATTTATTTGATGCATAGAATAAGCAATCTGACCAGATCAACTTAATCTTTAGAAATGGTTCCGGTTTATAAAACAGAATTGAAATCGGACGTATAAAAATTTATAAGTCATTATTGCTAATATCAACCATTGCAAAAATATTAGAAAAGATTATTTTGCAACGATTACCGAAAATCGTTCTACTCGCGCTAGGTTAATAAGCGGCTGAACTGGAAAAGCCGAGATCGGTTCGCCAGAGAGAGAGGGCGCGTAGGGGCAATGGCCGGGAGGGGAGAGTTCAACAGGCAGTATGACTGTGTCACTCAGTCCGTCCGCATAGAGCTAACCCTTTTCCGAGCCGTTATCGCGTTTTCTTTTGGTGGTGCGAGGCTAGAGGTGAGAACTTTAGTGCGGCGTGCCGAGTGCAGCAATAGCAGCAATAGCAATAACAGCAGCAGCAGCAACAGCAACAACAGCAGTAGTAGCAGCCGTAGCAGCAACAACAACAACAGCAATAACAGCGGAGAGCGGCGAGTAGCGGAGCAGCTAATTAGCGACGCGTGCTTCGGATACGGTTGGCCACCGTATCCTCAACTATCTCGCGGTAGGTGCACCTTCCTATTATTGTTGATAGCGTGCGATCCCGCGCAGCGTGCGCGAAGAGATAAATTGTTGCGTGCGAGCGGTTAGTTTGCGGTGATCGCGGTTTTCTCTCTCTCTCTCCCATTTAGCGTGTGTTGTCATTCGCGCTAGCGCGCACAAGTCTCTCGGCAAAACCCCCGTGTAATCGAATCGTTTAAATAAAGTGAACGATAGATTTACTTAATCTAGTCATCGTTATTTTGTCTTTCCTTTGTCCGGAGGTCGCGTCTGTTTACATTTCGTTCGAATTAGCCGGTAGTCTGTCACGGATCGCGCGGAGGTGATTAGAGGCGCCCTGCAAACCAAGTTTCCAGCAGCGGCCGCGCGAGCGCTACTAAGCAAGGGCGACAGCGCCGCCAAGCGGCGAGTTGGGGGAACCCAACTCGGAGTAGCGAGGAGACTCTGCGCAAGCGCACTCCAAGACAAGGTAGGTTGATGTGCTTCGAGCACACAGATAACTAGGCGTCGTTTAGTCATTATATAGGTACGTTCCAGAGATATTATAGGCTAAACGGCAGCCTGTTACAATTTATAAAAAACTTTTTTCTTTTGTTGCAAAACATAAAATAATATCGAACAACAAATTTGGATTTGTAAAAAATAGGGGTACAACTGATGCATAGCATTACATTTGTGATATTATATGTAGGAACCTAGACAAAAGTAGACCTACTATTACTAATTTTCTAGATCTAGCTAAGGCATTTGATACTGTTGATCAATAAATCCTGTTAGATAAATTGGAGAAACATGGAATAAGGGAACATGGTCTAGAACTAATGAAGAGCTACCTTTCCAATAGACACCAACTTGTTAAAATTAATAATCACATGAGCGACATGAAAATAATTACCACTGAAGTTCCACAAGGAACAATATTCGTACCACTATTTTTCAGTTTATATGTCAATAATATACTGGAAGACATGCTGGATATAGAAATTATATCATATGCTGATGACACTGTAATCATCATGCAATAGATGTGACTCGGTGCTATTAATTTGAAAGGGGACGGCAAGAGAGGCACTTTCACTTGAACTAGCAAGTTATCGTCAGACTACCTATGGGTTCGCGCGGCCACATATCTCCGAGAGAGAGATAACGTGACCTCGAAGTCTCCTTGATGAATCCTGTGAGACGAAGGTGGCAGCGGCAACAAAGATCGATCACCGGGCTTCTCACCGTCGCTGTTGTTGTCGACGTGGATAGACGTCGAGTCGCACTTTATGATGGGCTGACCCCGTGAAAACTGCGACGCACAGGATGACACCTACAGCCTAGTATCCGCAAGAACAACCCAATGAACAAAAACGAGCGAGAGATAAACTGTTTCCTGTAGGCAGGAAGGCTAAGAAACTCTTTCCTCAAAGATCACCGATAGAAGAAGGAAAAATGCAACGTGCGGGCAATGACCACGCTCTTGCCGCACGATCCTTTCTTATTAGACCATTTTATAGCGGCGTGCGACGAAAACGCTAACTGATCGCGCGTCGCACACCTGCCTCAAACTGCATAGTGCGTACAACCACACGCGAGCTCTCTCTCTCTCTCTCTCTCTCTCTCTCTCTCTTTCTCTCTCTCTTTGGTGAACGCCGTATGTACTTTACATCAGCTCCAAGTTTTTACACTTTATTAATATTATTTTTAGCATTTCTGCGAGGAACTTGTTCCAGGTGATGTATTATCCAAGGGGTAGCTAGGTTTATGCTAGTTATTACATTATTTGCCGAGGAATTACACATTACCTCAATCAACATTTGTCACCTAACCCGATCCATCTTCAATCTCAACGGACGTGAAACTGCAATAGCTATTGGTATCATCTGGCACCATTTGGCATTATTTTGATTTCGCCTGCAAACCGGTTTTCTGCAACGCCAGCTACTCAATCACGTCTTGCCGCGAATCAAGATTACCACCAATCGTCGTTGCGCTCAATTTCACATACTCATCAAGGCATAGGTCACTCTAATACCATGGCGGATGCACCTAAGTAGTTCAAGCGAGAGGCCCAACTAAATGCCAGCAGGCATCAAGAGATGCGCGACTTGTGGTCCCAATTGCGTTCGTAGCACCAGGTTAGAGATACTCTCTTCGGTATTACGGATGAACCTGAACTTCTCGTCCCGAACTTCTCAGCCACTTCATTGCTTGTTGTGCTTGGTTTTGGTGGGATGCACAATCTTCCGCATATCATTCATACTCGTGAATGGAGCCCTCCCCCTGTCTATCCCCAAAGCGCGCACGCGCACACACACATACACACACACATACACACACACACACACACACACACATACACACACATACACACATTCGCCCTCTGATCGCTGGCGGCCTCTTGGCACTGCTAGTCAGTCCACTTGCTCATTCGCATTTCTTGTTGACTCTTCCTTGATCTGGGATAGAATCCTTTGCTTCTCCCCGAAATTGAAGGAGCACACCGCCTAGTCAATTTTTGGTACTGGTGGACCTGCGAGAGTCTACGTTCGTCCCATATGGCCGAAGCCAGTTTTCGATCTTCTCACAAAAGCGAGAAAGGTCAGTGCTGAGCTTGGTTATGTCTGGTCAGTGGTTCGTAACTTGAGGGTGTTCTGTAGGCACACTCAGAGCTCAGAGCTGATCCCCATTTTTACTGAGGCTGACCTCCGTCGGCTCGTGCCTTTTCAACGCGTGACACCACCTGCTGTGAAACCACCCTCTCAATCAACTCATAATCCGTCTGACATACGCAGACATGTAACAATTTAGCTGAATCAAACTCATGCTTTACTGTTGTGCACGTCAATATAAACGGATTAAATGTACGTTCATATTTCTCTCTTCTCAAAGCTAAATTTCAAGCTCTCCCTTATGACCTAATAGCGATCTTCGAAACCAAGCTCAATGAATTCGTATCAGATGTGCACCTTTCTC